TCTATCTATCTATCTATCTATCTATCTATCTATCTATCTATCTATCTTATCTATCTATCACTATCTCTATCATCTATATCTATCATTTATCTATATCTATCATCTCTATCATCTATCTATCTATCTATCATCTCTACCTACCTACCTATCTCCTCCAAAAATAACTTACGTTTTTTTGTTTGAATAGGTTGGGTTCTTTGGCTATGTGAGTTACACTGAAGCCATTGAAGGCAATGTACTTATAAACTTCCCTTCCAACGTAGTGACAGAGATGATACGTGTAGGATTCATGATGTCTGTTGCAGTTGGATTCCCAATGATGATTTTGCCATGCCGGCAGGCTTTGAATACGCTTCTTTTTGAGCAGCAGGTAAGATGGTATAAACTTTTATGAAATAGATTTTAGGCTTTTCTCCATAGTTTATCCTAAACTGAAGAATTTGTGCTTATATTGCCCTCTCTTTCACTCTATATCTGATGCAAAAGGAACAAGTGGAATCTCCCCCCCTTTTAGGTAGCATTCACTTTGGTGGTGTTTTCATTTGATTTCCTGTGGTTGCTTTATTTATTTTAAAAACGGTTAAGAAAACAATGATCAACATTTGCTGAAGTGGGGAAGACTAAGCAAAAACTTCAGGTGCCTGGAAAAAAGAACAGGAAGTAATGTTTAGGATACCCTGTAAAGTAGGTTGATTAGGCCTTCCCGTCCATGAGTCTTATGCCTGTGAGGACAGCAACCATTGACGGCTAGGTATGAAGTAGAACTTAGCCTAAAGCTTCATAATATCCCAAGAAATTAAAAAAAAAAACCTTCAGATGAGCGATCAGTTGTTGCGACCATTCCCTAGACAAGTAGTAATTATCTTCTTTCTTTTTTTGTCCCTCCAAATGTAACCACTTTCCTAAAAATTCAGTCTCTGGTCAATGATTGACTCTTGTGCTATTCAAATGCAGCGTGGTAATCCATTTTTACTGTGGATGTCTTCACTGTGTTAACTCATCAACTGGCCTGTTGAAGTTATGGTGAATCTTGTCCACTACTAGACAGATTCGTGGTATAGCTGACATTGCTTTGAAGTATACTTGCCTTAACAATCACTCTACAGTTGCGAAGTGTAATTTATTTTGCAGCACATAAAAAGTTTTAAAGACCGTTTTAAACAGTTATGAGAGTTACAATTAGCAAGAAAAAGACAAATGGAAAGTACTATTTTCATTAGTTATACTGGCCTGTTATCTTCCATGCTAGATGATTTTTCAGAAGTCATTAAATCATGCTGTTTGGATTATGTTACAGTTTTTAGTTTAAAGTTTCTGTGAATAATTTCCAAAGAAGAATAAAATGGTTGGTCAAGATAACGCATTGGGAAGAGATTCTAATTTACAGGGTCCCCAAAAGAGATTCCTGAGAATTTGCAGGTGTATGGGGATCTATTCATATGCTTGTTTTATTATTATTATTTTTTTAAACAGCAAAAGGATGGAACATTTGCTGCAGGAGGTTATATGCCACCTCTCCGATTTAAAGCTCTGACTCTGGCAATTGTGTTTGGGACTATGGTTGGTGGCATCATGATCCCAAATGGTAAGGGAAATTTTGGAATTTTTGGACTCTTCATGCCTGGTTTTTAAAAGTGTGCATATTTATGTGATTGCTGTATATGAGCATAGATTAGGATAAACCCAATGTGTGTCTGCAGTCAATTTTCATTAAAGGTACATACTTGTACCTATAGTGAACGCATCTAAAATGATCATACTTATACCATGTAATATATTAAGTATTTCATGTTTATTTTCAAACTTTCTTTTGATACTTATTCCCAGTAATTTGTATGAACTGGTATATGTTGTCTTGAATTTTAGTATCTCTAGACAAAAATATGCCTGGTTACACCTTCCCTTTCTGATATACTTGTAAATATCTTAATATATAGGATGTTAGAAAGACAAGATACATTATCTTTTCAGCGTTCTATACCATACAGGTATTCCTTGATTTATATCCAATTGCTTAACAACCACTTGAAATTATGATGAGCACACAACAACTGCTTTGGGGCGTTATAGCACTCCTGATCATTGTAAAATATTCTTGTCTCCATCCCCACAGTCATGAGACTCATGTGACTATAATTTGCAATGTTTTTTGCCAGTTATTGGCAAAAAATGCTCATTCCGACTAATGGACTCATACTTATCAACTGTAGCATTTACTTAACAACCACTGCAAAAATGTCAAAAAAAATCAAGTCCTGTCATGTGGGTGCCTCAACTTATAACCTTAACAACTTACAGTCCTAACTGGGGTTGTAGAGTTATAAGTAAAAAACAGTTTACAGTCTGGAGCAGGGATATTGGTATTTTTCATCAAGGAACTGGTTCAAATATAGAAGTGAATATATTATGCTGTGTTAATGGTATTATTTTAGGTATCACACTGAATAACTTTTCTAGGACACCAGTGCCAGAGCTATGGAAAGAAAAAGGGGGGGAAAAATAGGAGAAATGTAGGGTGTTTTTTTTTGCTTGCTCTCAGTCATGAGATTCTGCCATGTTAGAAGTCCAGAGTAAGATGCCTTCCAATTGTTTTGTGCCTTTCGAATGATTTTAATTTCAGTTCCCATCATCCCTAGCCAGTATGGAAGGGCTGAAGGAATTTGAAATCATCTCAGGGTATCGCTTTGCCTACTCTTATCCTATATTTGTACAAGAATGAATATCTGGATCCATGCTAGAACTAGAATACCCATAATCCCATATCTGAGGGAGTTAGACATAGCAAATATAAATAAATTTTTAAAAATAAAATAGTTCCATATCCTTTTATAAGCATACTTTACTATCAAACAGAAGTATTGTGACAAGTGTATGCTTTTCACTCTATTTTAATGCATACTTAAGGATGAAGTAGTATCCTAATCTACTGTATTTATGGTAAGTATGGCGCTAAAGATGTTAGTTCATCACATTATGAACTAATTAAGTGTTGATGTGCTTATTTTATCACAGTCAGTAACATAGATTACAGCCTCTGCTTCACTGATGGGCCCAGAACATAAAGCAGGAAAAGTTTGTTCTTCATAGTCTAGACCAAGTTTTCCCCTGAATCATTTCAATGGAAAAGTTCATTCATATGCCATTAACTGGAACTTCTAATAATTTTTCTTTCTTCTTCTCTGATAGTGGAAACCATCTTGGGCCTAACAGGTGCAACGATGGGAAGTCTCATCTGTTTTATCTGCCCAGCTCTTATTTACAAGAAAACCCACAAGAATGCCCTTTGCTCACAGGTCAGTGCCAGTTGTAATGAACTCTTACTCCATCTCTTGCTTACAGTAGAGTTTGGGCATCATGTTAATTTCTCTGGCGCCAAGGAACCCAATCTACTCTTTTGTTCCAGATGGATAGCAGACATGGAAGGCAGGGCAAGGGTTCTAACTCGAACACATCATTATCAAGAAGTCAACGTTTGTGGCGGTATACCTGCATCTTCTAATCTTGGAATGTTCCTCTTTTGTGTTTGGCAGACTAAAATGCATTAATAGCTGATTCCCGATGCTGCATCAGCCTGCTCCTTGCTATTGTGTTCCCAACATGGAGGGTTCAGGCAGCATTTTCAATGCTTAACTAGTCTGCTTCTTTGGGACTGTGACTGAAACAAATGTATTTTGGCACTGTGGGCCTTGCTCACAAGGTTTTTTTGGTTGCATCCCCAAAATAACAACTGCAAAAAAGGAGCACGCATATTACACACACAAACACACGCTCATTGTTATAGAAATAGATTTCCCATTGTAGAAACTGTTTGAAAAACACACCCAAAGCGTCCTTGTTTTTTTCAAAGATAAGATTGGTTCCACTTCCTGATTTACTACAGCCGCTAATTTTTAAATGGAGCTGAAATTAAAGTTTTTGCTGTTCCTTGTGACCATAGTGCAGCAAACTGACATTTTCAGGGAAATTCAACCTTTCTCTGAGAAGAAGTGGGTGATAGTGTTTTTTCCCGCTGCTTACTCACTTTGTGTTTTCTTTTTGAAGTATAGACTCATAGCATCTTTTTTGATGGCATGCAGCTTTTTAAAAGGATCTGGAGTTTTCAGGGAACTTGTTGGGTTAAGTCTTTGCTCTTATTTTGTGAAGCCAGCCCAAGCGATGTTAGGCACAGCAGACTGGCATCACAAGACCAATGAAACAGCCATCCCTATTTTAGGATGAAACCTTATGTTGCCTCATTCTTCTCCACTCTTGACACTTGTAAACAGTTGCAGCATGCGTGACAGGCAATAGAACAAAGGCAGCAAAGTAAAATTTGATTTTAATCAGATGTTGTTGTATTCCAGTCCTGCCCCCTCCCCCACAATGCTTTTTGGCACTATTTCATTGCAGCCTATATCATTGTATGTCCTGTTCATGTTTAAGTTAGTTTAGGTAGACGTTTGTTGTCTTTGATTGCTGGCAGGTTGTTGTTAATGTTGCAAACCATCGTGAGTACCTTTAAATACTCAGCTAGTGTGTCTTTTATCTCTGTGCATAGAATGGATATGGCAGTGGGTGTTTGTGAATATGCATTTACAGGCATTTGCAAATCACTCCTCAATTGAAGAGCTTTTCCTTTTAACTCACATAGATCATTTCTCAAGACTGGGTCAGTTGCCAGTTACGCTGCAGTGATGTAACCGAATGGTCTGTTGACTTGTGCAGGGTGAAGGTATCAGTGTCATAGTTCAAGATGCAGCTTTGAAAAGCTGAATCAAACATGTACTCCTCCCAATTCTTCCTGATCAGAATCATTCCCATGAGGAGAAGGAGGGGGAAATGCATCCCCAGATGTTTTTTTTTGTTGGTTGGGTATCTAATGCCACCAACCACAGTTAATTGTTGCAGACAGCTGGTCAGTCAATAGTTGGCAGTGAGCCAGAACCCGGAAGGCAGCTTGGATTAAACAATGTGGGTAGTTTTCTTACAAGCTTCAAATGCTGGAAAGTTGATTCAATAATTGAGCAACTGGGGGAAGGGCTAAGAATTCTGCCAGACTTGTGAAAGTGCTGCTGACTTGGGGATCTTTCTCTTTCCTGTGGTTCCATTTGTAAGACTGTATATTCTCTTGGTATGGTAGGGAAGGAGTGCAGGGCAGTAGACAGAAAGGACCCTCATTTGAAAGTCTGTAAATAGCTTTTCTGATGCAGAAAACTTGCCTGTGCTCTCTCAAACAAGAGAGGAGTCCCTGAATATTCTACATTCAGTGCAGAGAAGAGCAAACAGGATGATTAGGGGACTGGACATATGAAGAACGGTTGCAGGAACTGGGCATGGCTAGTCTAGTGAAGAGAAGGGCCAGGGGAGACAGGATATCAGACTTCCAATATCTGAGGGGCTGCCACAGAGAGGAAGGGATCAAGCTTTTCTAAAGCACCTGAAGGCCAGACAAGGAATAATGGATGGAAACTGAACAAAGAGAGATTTAACCTGGAAATAAGGAGAAACTTTCTGAGAGTGAGAACAATCAACCAATGGAATAGCTTGCCCTCAGAAGTTGTGGGAGTTCAACACTTGAGACTTTCAAGAAGAGATTGGACTGCTATTTATCAGAAATTGTGTAGGGTCTCCTGCTTGGGCGGGGGGGGTTGGACTAGATGACCTAAAAGGCCCCTTCCAACTCTGTTAATCTAATCTAATCTACATTTAACATATAAGAGAAAAAAGCCGAGAAACTCTTGACTAGCTTAGTGTATCTTTTATTGGCTAATGTGCCATTTATGACAAAGATGCTCAAAAAGATTATTGGCTTGTTTGACTACCGTATTGCACTTCACAGGGAGCTACCCTTGAAGAATGTCCAAAAGCTCTATTTTGTGCAAAATGTGGGGTCTTTGGTTGCTAACAAGTATATGATATCTTGACTCCAACATGCTAATGTTAAAATATTTGCAGTAATTGTCAGTAATTTTCCAAGGTGGTATTGGTGAGGAACTGTCTGTTTTGATACGAATTACCCTGTTTTAGTTTTAGTTATCAAGGTAATCTTCCAATTACAGCCAGTTGTGCCTGGAATCATGGTCGTTGAATGAAGTAATTGTTCAGCAAGATGCTACGTGACAGCTTAATTCAGTGACCAGGATCCTAGCTGTCTCAGTTGTGGTGTTTAGGCAACTGCTTGGGTCATTAAAAGGACAGTTAGGGAGAGTGGCTGAGCTTCCTTCCCACCACATATGGGAGGCCTGGCCCCTCTCTTTGCCCCATTGGGGAGAATGCTGGAAGAAATCCACCAGTGTGCTTAAGTAATGGACCTCAAATGTGGCAAAAACATTCGCAAACCCCTCCATTCTGAGCCTTTCAGAACGCTGGTATTTACTAGCATTTCCCACTTAGGGGACAGACTTTATTAGGTGAGGAAGAAACCCTGTATAGCCTCCTCATCGGGCATGTGACTACAATTAATTTGAAGCCAGGAGTTCAAGGTAATATATATCTATTCAAGAGTTATCCGCTTTAAAAAATTCTGCATAACAATTCGAACAAAGGAATTTTTTTTAGGTCCTTTACATCTGCACCAACATTTTTATATCCTTATAGGATCCTGAACTGTGTAACCATTTGTACCCATTGTTTCTTTCATATCTCTTGAACGGCATTCAGAAGGCATGCTATTCAGTGAAGTTGGATTTGGGAGACACATATGCTTTGATCAAGAATGAGAGACACAAATATTTAACACCATTCGGGAACAGACATGACAAATTTGAATCCACAGTAATACTTTTGGCTTGGCCTAATTATAGGGTAGTCTTCTCCATTAAATATTTCCTGATGTTTTAGAAAAAATATATTGTGGTTTACTGGATGATATACTGATATTTTCAAAAGATCTATCTTTACATGAAAGATATCTTAGAACAATTCCATGAACACAAACGTTTTATTTGGTTGGAAAAATGTGCATTCAATCTTCCCCAGTTGGACTATTTAAGTTACAGGAGCCTACAAAAATACAGTTTATGGCCAAGAACCTAGAAATGTGAAGGACGCCATGCATTTTCAAAGCTTTGTGAATGTGTACAAAAAATTCATCCCTAAATTTGAGGGGTTTATAAGACTGCTGTCTCAACTCTTAAACAAACAAAGGACAGTAATTTAGATTGTCTACTCAAGAACAAGCAGCATTTCAAAAATCCCAAATCCTTTTCAAAGTCATTGCTCAAACTTCTAGACCCCTCCTGCCCCCTTGTGGTGGAAACAGATTCCCTCAGATTTCGCATTAAGAGCCCATTCTTCTCCATACAGTGAAAAAGGCGTGGTAGGGTGGGAGAGAAATCTATACAGGTAATCCTCAACTTACAACAGTTCGTTTAATGACTGTTCAAAGTTCGAACGGCACTAAAAAAAGTGACATGACCGTTTTTCACACTTATGACCATTGTAGCATCCCCATGGTCACATGATCAAAATTCACAGTGCTTGGGGCCTGGTTCGTTTGCAGTGCCCTTTGATCACACTTTGCCACCTTCTGACAAGCAAAGTCAGTCAGGAAGCCAGATTCACTTAACAACTGTGTTACTAACTTAACAACTGTGCTTATTCACTTAACAACTCTGGTAAGAAAGGTTGTAAAAGGAGGCAAAACTCAATAAATGTCTCACTTAGCAACATAAATTTTGGGGTTCATTGTGGTCATAGTTGAGGACTACCTACTTGTATATTCCATTCCAGATTTGCTCCTCCAAAGCTGAATGGAACCACGACATTTTCAACAAAGACTTGCTTGCAATAAAAGTTGTGTTCCAGTGACAGAGGCATCTCCTACACTGAGCAATTCGTCCAGTATAGGTAACGCCAACTTACGATCACAACTGAGCCCATAATTTTAAGCGATACATTTTTTAAGTGGGCTTCGTACCATTTTATGGCCTTTCTTGGCGCTTAAGGGAATCACTGCAATTGTTAAGGGAATCACTGCAGTTGTTAGTAACATGGTTGTTACATAAATCTGACTTCCCCATTGACTTTGCTTGTCAGAAGGTTGCAAAAGGGGATCCCACAGGACACTGCAGCCATCATAAATACAAGTCGGTTGACAAGGCTCTGAATTTTGATCACGTGACCATGGGGATGTCACAACAATCATAATTGTGAAAAACGGTCATAAGTTACTTTTTTTAGTGCTGTTTTAACTTGGAACGGTCACTGAACAAACTCTTGTAAGTCAAGGATTACCTGTGTAGGTACACACAGATCACCAGAATTGGAAATTCTGCAAGAAGCACCATATCTTACCTTAGGTGGACACAGGGGT